GGTATTTTTCTTTCTCTTTCTGGCTTATCTCACTAAGCATGATCTTTTCCAGCTCCATCCAAGTTGCTGCAAAAGACATGTGTTTCTCTTTTTTGGTTGTAGGTATCTACCCAAAAGACACAACTATTTTTAACCTTTCAAAACGCACTAGCAGTAAAAACACCAGAAGCCCCTTGCCAGACCATAAACCCGGTGCTGCTCAAGCTGAGGTGGGGTAGTGGCAAGAAAAGCCCTGTAGCACACCTGCGCTGGGCATGTCACCTTCTCATCAGCATTTTAATCTACGAGGCTTTTTCAACAAGTAAAGTTTCCCTCATCATTCAGAAGATAAGCTGACAATCTGAATAACCACATAGTTGAAATGTTTACGCTTGGTAATTCTTTCTACTGTAAATGCCAGTCTCCTTTGTATTCTGTACAGAAGAGCACAAGACTTACTTAATGCAACTGGATGACACTGATTCTCTTTTCCCATTTCCTCCTCCTGGAACATCGATCTAGTAAAGACAAAATCAAGGCAACAACTGTATTTCTTTGTTTTCCCAGATTTTAGTAAAAAAAAAAAAAAAACCACTTAAGGTTAAGTGACTGGTAAATGCATGGCTGAAATTAACTAGAAATAACACTGGTTAAGTGGTACCATAAATGCTTAAAGTAAGAAATTCATGCACGTTTTGTGGGGGGAAAAAAAGCATAACTTGTGAAGCAAACTTCCTGAACAATCAATCTTTCTCTCACTTTCTAGAATAAGTGTATCACTATCACCCCACCTGAGTGGATATTCTCTACCCCACGTCCTTTACGTTGAAAGCCTCAGGTGAGGGACTTTGGAGAGAAACCAGTGAGAAGGTGTTTGTGCATGACTGCACCTACTCAAAGTAGTTAACAACACTGTGCAATACTTTCCTGACCCCAAAATAAAATGTTTTAATCAAATGTGTGGCTTCTCTCCATTGTTCTAACTCTGGGGGTACTTTTTTGTATCTTCCTTCAATGGGAAAAAGGGTGGATGTAAGGTCCTGGCCCACGTGGGCATCTGACCCAGCAGCAGGCACTTGAGACAACACCTTTGCAAAACTCAGTCCAGTGGGATGGAATAAAATATTTGACCACAATGCACTAAGTTTGAAGACTACTTAGACACTTTGAGGTTTACCAAATAAATCAGCACCCTCCTAGATGAACTCAGAAAATTAGAAGTTTCATAACAATTTTTAAGCTTATGGACGTAGAAGTAACACTTATCCCAAAAGCATGGCAGAGTCATTGGGACTGATGTCTGCGTGGTCACTGTGCCTTTTAAAGTGCTGCTACATTGGGCAGAAGAAGTCTGAGGAGGGCTAAAGGCAACGTTATTCTGAATATTAATTGAGAGAATGTGGTTGGACTTTGCCAAAGAATCTGGACATTATATACTTGCCAATTTTTATGATTCTTGTAATTCGAGAGATTCAAACTCATTTATATTTGAAAATACAGGTTTTCTGTTGTATTAGTTTTCTACATGAAAGGTGTCATAGAAATTTATTGACTTTTTTCCTCCCAAATAAACTTACAATGCTCAACTATTTAAGCTAGCTTTAATAATTTATATCAAACATGGAGTTACAGTCCCTCTCTTGATATAAACGTTCATGCTGGAAATCTGATTTAACCCCATGCTTCCCAGCACCTAGAGTAGCAGTTAGGGCTCTCCCATTTGGCTTTCTTTTCACAAGTTAGGCTGTGAGAATGCATAAGATTCTAAGGTGTTAATCTAACTTTTCCCACTAAGAACACAAGCTCCAATGAAAATACATTAGTATTCCCAAATCTGTTTTTTTAGTATGGCAAGACAGGGGAATGAAAGGATGAAAGAAGCAATTAAGATAAGCTCCACAGAAAGGGGGTAGGACCACAGCCTCAGAGAATATTCCTCCAGGACAAGCTAGCACCATTTAATTCTGGTTTACTAAGTATTTCGAAGAATAAACATTTATCCTTAAGTGTTACCAGCCCTCCAAAAGTAGTGGATTCACCAGTTGACCTGTAGAAACTTTTCACCTTAGGAGTTTAGAGAGCATTCCTGTACTCCACAAAGATAACAGTAATCCATTCTCTAGTTAAACTTCTGTTTGTTTGTTTGTTTTTTAATTTTGCAAACTCAAATAAGTAACCAAAAACCAAATAAAATATAGGAGAAAGAAAACTAGAGTTCAAGAATTTTATCTTCCAGTTATTTTTTCCCAGCCTGCAAATAACATAGAACCCACAGAATATATGCCCAATTTAAATAAGCAGGACCCACTTACAATAACTTTGATGTAGTTGGCAGGAAACATGCCTGTCTGGCTTCTACATTTCCCTCTATACCAATCTGTACCAATTTTTTCCAGAAGATAAACAATTTCTCCAGAAGCAAGATTCAAATCATCAGCTTGTTCTGTAACATAAAGTTATGGGGATGAATTATCCTGGTTGCAAAATAGATTAAAACAGAGCACAAAATAGCCTTTAATTCTGTCTGAGGAAGCAGTCTATCCTACTGATTTGGAGAACAGGTCAAACTTATAAAATTGACTTTAAAAAATACTTGTTTCCTGGTATGTTGGTCTTTTAAGACCGTCATGTAATCTACCTCAGACTGACTGATAGAAAATGGCTGAACACAAACACTGGGCAAATATTGCCACCGTGCAATGATTGCCACTGTGCCCGGGTAAACCTTTTGCTAAATTCAGACGCAACTCTGACAGCTTTAATAGACATGATAGGCTATTCATATCCTTCTCGATCATGTTTAAAACTTTCAATCACAAAATATTAACTGAGGGAGTACTAGAGCTCTTTGGCAAGTACATCTGCATGAAAATAAAACCAGTCTACCAAATAGATATAAAAAGTGGTTATAAATAAGTCAGTCTTACTTGTGGCCTCAGATATAAAACAGATTTTATCAACAGATTTTCAAAGGGTATATTTTATATGTTTATCTAATAAGTAAAGATAAGTGTGTAAATCTTATCACTTGAGAAAAGAACCTTCCTTACTAGAATTAATTTCATTGTAATTGCTAACTGGCACCCACAGTTTTAGAACAGTTCAAGTTTGCAGCTGGTAGGCAATTTGTTATTTGTTCATTTGCAAGGGAAAGTCTCTCCCTTCTTTTGCACAGAGAATTTCAAAGGCAGCGGTGGGCAGCGAAGCTTTGGGGAAAGGTGGGTACTGTCCACCCTCCCTGTGGCCGGGTGTTGGATAAGATGACCCCTGGAGTTCAGGGCTCTGGCCGCACAGAGGAGGAAGGTCGTCCTTGAGGGGTCAGCCCGAGGAGAAGCCCTGCTGGGCCCCAGCGTTCTCCCACTCCAGTATCTATGTCTTCACCTGCTGCAAAGTCGTGCAGCACCACAGCATGAGGCGCGCTCCTGTCAGCAGGCTTCTGAGCATGGCTTGGCTCCTGAGGGGGGAAACAGGGCTGTGAGTGAGGCATATGCAGCATGGCGCTGGAATTCATTACCCTGAGATCAAGGCTTTCCCCCACTAGCCACCATCACACTGTGAGTACAAAATACGAGCCACACAGTCCAGTCGGACAAGGAAAGGCTCAAGTTGAGAAGGCATGAGTCCTTGCCAAGCAGGACAGCTCAGTGCCCCCCAAATAAGCTTAAACCAAGAGAGCAAAATAAGAGCAGATTACTAAAATATTTTTCTTTCACCAGGACCCATTCTACCAGAAGTGGCTCTGTGAATTAACCTGTTTGCCTTTATCAAGGGTAGTGTTTTTGTTAAACTGCAATCTGGACTAAACCTTAAAAATAGCACCTTAGAAGGAAAAGATGGGAAAAACAGAAAATTCCTGCCCTTCATAAAGAAAAGAGTCAACAACTTCTGCAGAAGTATAATTCACAAAAGGTAAAGTCCATTTCATGTATCGCCCACTTCACTGAATGCTTTCTCTAATTTGAAAGCCAGCAATGCCTCCCATGCCTCGCCTGGATTTTGTTTCATCTGAATGGCTTATTCAACAGCAATTCTAAGTAAATTAGCAAAGAATTCAATATCCTCTACCCACTGGGCCAACTGCCTGGGCTGGCGAGAGGACAGCCGTTAGAGAAGAGGAGCCTTTCCTGTGGACAAGCAGTTGCTGTTTTTAGTCTATTACGTGCCTATCACATCATCATGATCAGGAAATCTGACAGGAGGATATTATTTGAAATGATAACCTAAGACTCTTCGACACTGGCCAGACTGTGACATAAAGGCAGGCCGATTCCTGCTCCGACCTGTCTTTCCGTCTCCTCCAATGACTCCTGTTCCCTGGGGGCTGGCGCCCCCATGGCTCCTGGGCCAGGATGCACCCCATCGGTGACCAGACTGCTCTGCGGATTCAGCCCCAGCTCTCTGATTCCACCTCACAGCACTGCCTGCTTCTTTTCAGTCTTCCCTGCCCTTTCAGCCAAAGACTGTGCCTGCAGACGCAAACTGCATTCTCTTGTGTCAGGTAAACTGAAATAGGGATTTAGGTCAAGATGCAAAGCAGCGTGGTCACTGGCTGATTACCCCATTTGCTTGCCAGGGTAACTCTGACATTTCCTCAGGGGCTGCTCACTGCTGTTCTCTCAATAAATGAACATCAAGGGAATTTCAGGGATTGCAGAAAGGAATTGTGAGATGTTTTAATTCTGGGGGGGGTGTTTCAAAATCACTATATATACACTATATTATATGTATGTGTGGTCATCGTTCATTTTCCCAATTTACATCCATAGATAAAGAAGTGATTATTCGATAAACAGTGTCAGACTACATGCCTATTGCTTTGGAGAAAATAGTCATCAGAGATGTGTATCACACCAAACAAACAGGACTCTCCAAAGGGACCAGTGATCTAATCACAAGACCAGCTGGGGAAGGCAGAAGAGGTGGGTCGGCCATGTGTCCCCCCAACTGATGGCCCTGCTCTGCCTGCAGTTCACGGCTATTCCTGGAAATGCTGGTCATCTGCCTGGGCTGAACAAGCTAACAGGTTGACCAGAGGGGTCTGTATAACTTGCACCACACCGTGACAGTGGGTAGATGGTAGGTAAATCTAACATTTTTCAAAGCATTTTCTAATATGACAGTAATTGCTAATACTGAGTATTAGCAGTAACTGCTAATAATGAGTAATATGAGTAAGAATATTTCGTTGTTCACTTACTTCTCATTGTGTTAATCACCTTGTATGTATGAATTAGCTCATTTCATTTTTAAATGATCTGAGATATAATTGCCAGCATAAAATTTAACCATTTAAAAGGTATCATTTTAGTATATTCAGAGAGTTGTGAAGCCATCACCACCATCTACGTTTACAACATTTATATGAGCTCCCTAAGGCGCCCTCGCACCCAGGGGCAGTCATTCCCCATTCACCCCTCCCCGCCCCCCTTCACCCCTCCCCCACCCTGCTTGCAGCCTCCAATCTACTTTCTGGATTACTTGTTTTGGACTTTTATATAAACAGACTCACACAATATATGAATTCTAAAAACAGCTCTGTGAGGAATTACCATATCTATTTTACACATTTAGAAAATGAAGTTTAGGGAGTTTAAGCAGCTGCCTAAGGTACGAACAGAGGGGTTTCCCAAAGCCGAAATCTGCATCCCTGTGTTCCGTTCACGCAGCAGTTTAATTTCAGCTGATTAAGCTCAATATTTTCTAACAAAGTAAGGGAAAGTAGGGCATAGTTTTAGAAATTTGTAACTTAAAATGCGGCTTTCAAATAGGTAGGTGACTTTTCTAGTAACATAGTGTGGGCCCTCCCTGATGTCAGCGGGTTAGGACGCAGCACTGCAAGCTGGCTCTGCAGTGAGAGTTTGATCCCCAGTCCCGGGGGGTGACCCACACGGCGCGGCAGACCTCTCCTGACCCTACCCGCTGCTCCCCTCAGCAGTGTACTTCGTGGATCTGCCTGTTCCGCTCCCCACTCTGTCTCTGGTGAAGCCTCACACTGCCCACACACCTCTGGCTTATACCCCAGTTCTGTATGAATGAATAAATAAATCTTAAAAAGAAAAGAAAACATTATGCACCCCCTGAACACGAAACCTATGAAGGAGGCTTCTGCTTCAGAGCTGTCTGTGGCTGGCCCTGGCGGTGCCCTCCCTCTCTGTGAGCCTATGACCCAAGATTACTGATTAACAGCTACTATTTAAGGTGGAAAACATTTTGGGCTGTTACAAAAGACCTTCTGGCCCTCTCTGGTGGCGCAGCAGGTTACAGCACAGCACTAAGAAGCTAAAGCCACTTCCGCATGAGTTCGATCCCCACTCCAGAGGTGACCCACATGGCGCGGCAGACCTCTCCTGACCCGTCCGCTGCTCCCCTCAGCAGTGTACTTCCTCCATCTGCCTGTTCTACTCCCCGCTCTGTCTCTGGTGAAGCCTCTCACCACCCCCTGTACCTCTGGCCTGTACCCCAGTTCTGTATGCATAAATAAATATTTAAAAAAAAAGAAGAACTTCTAATTTTAAGCTTCTAGTTTCTTCAAGGAAAGCTTTCAGCAGCACAACTCATGCTGCTCCCACCAGCCTTCCGAGTGGGGAGGGCATTGGTGGCAGATGGATGATGTTGTATCTCAGCAAAGAACAAACAAGGGCCAGGCCTTGCCCTGCATGGATTAGTCACAGCGTCTAGTGTTCTCTAAAATACAAATTTTTGGTTTTTTAGCAAACTTCAAAAGGGAAACTGCCATTGAAGAAGGAAGAAATGGATTAGATAAGGAAAACTAGGATGAATGGCAAACCAAACACTTCTACTTGAGTTAAATGATTGGTGAGTAATAGTTTTCATTAAATATTAGTGAAAATTTGAATGGCTAACTTAAGAAACTTTTATAAAAATATGCCTCTATAGACTGTTCAATGCTTTCTTTCCCCTCCTAAACAGATGACCTTCAATAACCAAGGTATTCTTTCAGGCCCCACAAATATGTTATAGGCCTAACGGTGTGAATTCAGATTGTTCTATTTCACTGCATGATTTTATGAGCTATAATCAGAGAAATGAGGTTTACATGAAGCTCAACTCTTAAAGGGGAAGGTTTTTGTTTTTTTTTTAATGTCAGATGTAGCATTTATAGGCCCCCTGTGAAACAATTACTCATGCTGCTAGGAAGGCAATCTCTGGGACTTTGGTAAACATGTTTACATTATTAAAAAATAAATAAATAAGCAGGTCTTACAGCTGAAAATGAATGGCGACACACAGGAGCCACCTGCGTAGCAGCGTGACTGATACTGCAGCAGGTAGCTCGTGGCAGTAATTCATACTGAAAACGGAATCAAGTGCCATTGCAGGTTTTACTCCGGTTAAAATCAACCTGCTAATAAAAAGCTGCAGATAAGATGTAATTAATAGTTCCAGGGGGTGTCTGCCACGTGTGCTTTGAGGACTGCGCCACATCAGTTCCTCAGGCGTGGGCTGTGTCTAGAGTGTCCATCAAGTAGGATGATGGACAGGTGGATTCTGAGCCAGGTGGGTGCTGCCAGGGCCTTCTCCCTTTGGCATTCCAAGTAATTCTTTTCTGCTTGCTTCAGTGCCACCTCCACATGGTTAGATATAATACCACCCTCTGAAGCGATTCCTATTTAATAAAATATTATTACTTTTTTCACGTTTTAAATCTTCAGAACCTAAAAGCATTTAATAATGTGTAAAGCAATAACAGAGGCTAGCAGTGTTTTACATTGAGCAGTAAAGAAAGAGCTCCACTGGCCCTCCCTGGTGGCGCAGCGGGTTACAGCACAGCACTAAGAAGCTAAAGATACTTCAGCATGAGTTCGATCCCCCCCGCCACCCGGAGGTGACCACATGGCGCTGCAGACCTCTCCTGACCCGCCCGCTGCTCCCCTCAGCAGTGTACTTTGTCGATCTGCCTGTTCTGTTCCTTCTTCTGTCTCTGGTGGATTCTCTCACCGCCCCTGCACCTCTGGCCTGTTCCCCAGTTCTATATGCATAAATAAAAATAAAATCTTTGAAAAAAAAAAAGAAAGAAAGAAAGAAAGAGCTCTACTTTACCTTACAAGAGAGTTCTCCGGGGTTTTGCGAGACGGTGTCTTCACTGGCAATCCCATGAGGTGCTGACAACTTAAAGGTGAACCAATAAAAGGATTATTCATAATCAAATAAACTTTTCCGACACTTTTCCTACACTGCTGACCATGTGGGGAGCTGGGAACGTGTGCCTCGGGTGCAGCATCTCCAGAAGCAAGTTCTTTATCTGTTGGCTCAGGCTCTTGAGCCAGCGGGCCTGCCATTCCCAAGGATAATGAAGTCCTGGGGCAGGGTGTGGCATGGGGCCACAGGACAAGAAGGCTGGGTGTGGCCAGCGCTCCCTTTAACACTCACAGCCAGGAAGTTGTACCCTATCGGATGGAGCCCACTAAGGCTCTGGGGATCTGAAGGGTAAACACTGAGAACCTGAGCTCACAGCCATCAAGGCGTGTCTTGATCAGGGTTCTCAACCACCATCTTCTGAAGACTGACAGGGACCAGTGGCTCTTCTGGAGCGCCTGACTGCTCCCAGCTGCCTTGAATCTAATCTTCGAGGGGCTCTCTGACACCAGTTTGCAGCCACCCCAGTGGCCTCCTGGCCCATCCAGCTCTGACCACAGGTGGTTTTACACCTGTGTGCCACCCTACCAGGGGACCCTGTTGTCTGTTACAAGTTCTGGATGCAGGTCTGGGATTATAACATAAAACACACACACAGGAAATGTGGCCCCAGAAAGGTGACTTCCCAAGGGTGGGAGGTTCCTGGCCCTGGATCACCGGAAGGACACAGAGCAGGGTGTGGTCCTGTCATCCCCAGCGTGCTGCTTCTCTGCATCCCTGTCAGAGTTCCCTGGCTCTAGTGTACCCAGATTCTTGGTTAGTGATTTGACAGGAGGATAGGCATGGGCAAAAATGAGGGATTTAAGGGACTTTTTCATAATGAGGTACACTCCTTTTGAAACATATCATTATTTTCAATTTATTTCGACTGATAAATTGTGAGTTCTTCACATGCTTACCACATTGAATAGTTAGGCTACGAACCATAAGCAAAATCTAGTTTCTCCTGAAAGGGGAAACATCGGGTAGCCAATGTATGTAGAAACTTTACAGCTAATAACACTATTTTCATAGTAGGAAATAACAGGTAAGAGAAAGGCCCCAGAGTCCATTGATCTGTATTTCAATTTTGGCTTTGTAACCATGGATAAGTTAACTTCTCTGTGTCTTATCTTCCTCAGAATTAGTGTTAGGAATAAATGAATGATTTAATATATAATGGGCTTCGAACCCTGTCTGGTTGATAATATTCAACACATCAGCTACTGATTTTATTTACTGATTTTTTTTAAGTAACCTATTCCAAAGAATAACCTGGGGTTTTGGCAATCAAAATTACATTAATTTAAATGAATATGAGTATATATGAATATACTTCTTCCTTTCTTCTATCTATAAGCTTAGGAGGATTTAGGACAAGTCCCATATAGCTTAAAGTGAAAATAACTTGATAGAAATGTTGAACAATACAAAATTACTAATTGCTGTTTTCATTATGACTCCAATTATACAACTGTTTAAAAACTACAACAAACCTGCTCCTCCTACCACTTCTGTTTCAGAATTCATCAAGTTACCCCAGCCAAGGCAGAGAGCAAATCAATTTTGTTTTCAAGTATGGAAAATGGAGGTGACAAGGCTTAAGGTCTTATTGATTAGAAAAAGATTCAAAGAGAACAAAACATCTCAATAATTGATGAAAATTCCTGTCTTTAAAAAAATTGATATACTATTGATTTTTAAATTTTGTTTTCATATTTTGTTGAGGTAATATTGGGATAGACACATCATGTTAATGAAAACTTCTAAGTAGTAATTATTAAATGGATCATGAACATTATTTTCACAAAAGGAGAAAATGAGGGAAAGCCATGCACCATAATAAGATCTACGTCATTTTAACTTTGTGGGCAAGTTTATATAAGGTATAAATCACAATGATATAAACATAAAACCTGACAGTTGCTCCTATCAGTATAATCTACTGGGTCAGGTTTTTCAGAGTTTCCACTTGACCAAGCCAGAGAGCAAGTTATAATTCCTGCTTGTTCTGCTTCATTTTTCTGTATTTCTCTTAATAATGAAATCCTGCTTCAAAGGTCTTATTATGGCCTGCTTATCTAAAGCACTCTTAGGGTCAAGGAGCAAGTTCACACTTGTTTCATCATCTTTTCTAGGGCATAGTGGGGCTTATAAATACTCCAGGGCAAAGTTATTGATCAGAAAAGTTTTTAAGAGCTGACATTACCATGTATTTCCTGTAGAGAGGGTGTCCTGGTTTGGGGCGAGGGGGTAGCACCAGATCTTGATTTTTAAAGACTTGACTCTTGGCTTTTGAGAGTCCAGATGCGAAGCTATTCTGCTTTTTCTGAAGATCCATGTCAGAAGAAGATCGACTGAAAGGCAGTTTTCTATTGGCTGCTCTGTTTGCAGGAAGTTTGGGGGGAGGTGGTCTTTCAGGAGCTCCCTTGGGAGGAGGTTGTCGGGCTGGAATGACTCTCCCATTTACAGGTCTGAAATCAGTGTGGCAGCAGTGAGTCAGTGTTTGATCAACATTAAGTTCTGTTTTGTCCCTTCTCATGATATTCACACACACGTGCACGGGTGCACACACACACACACAACAGCTTTCTCTTAGGAAAATTTACTCAGACATGCAAGGTATGCTATTTTTGAGCAGATGATTGCTGCACTAAACATGACATTATTGGAGGAAATGCTGTGGTGCTCGGCCTTCTCTCATCTTGCACTAGAGATTCATTAGTTCAAGACAAACAAGCCCTGACTATCATGAGCTCTCCAAGGTCCCGTTTGTTCTTAAACATACCGTGACTGTTTCAGAAAACAGCCACTTTCTGTGAAAGTCTGAGATGAAAAGCTTACTCTAAGACATCACTGCGTATATGATGGGGCCTTGAACATGGTTACAATAGGAACATTAACATATTTATGCTACAAAAATTATTAAAACTTGAAAGAAAGCTAGTTCTGCAAATGACACAGGACAACTATCACTTTGAGAAGTCTTTCCTTAACTGCTATGACAAAGGTAATTCCCAACGCATAGTGCCTTTTGAAGGCGTTGGTTTTATTTATTTTTTATTTCAAATAGCACTGGACCCAGGAGGGTAGGTCACTTCTGAGCTCATAAAGCCTACTCTCCCTTTGCAAATGCCAGAAACTAAGCTACTTTTCATCATGGAGAGTGAGTGTGCATGCATACGAATGTGTAGGTAGATGAATGAGAAGATTCCAGAAGAAGAACTGTCTTAGGTTCAGAAAGGAGTCTTGTTTATTTCTTTGAGGAGAAGTGATAGAGATCCATGCCTGTGCTCTGTTTTGGGGAAGACAGAGACCCCTACAGTCTGCTGTCAGAATCACACTGTAGGGCAGGGACATGGGTGAATCTGTGAGCTTAATGTATCTGTAGGAGAAAAATCTAAGGCCGACAACATTTAGTGTGGGTCAGAGAATGCAGTCTGAATCACTAGGTTTTCTCTAATTTTTCTTTTAGAAACTCCCACACTCACTCACCGTGGCGGCAATCTTGGGGGTCCTCGCACAGATCCTCCTGTTTGGCCAGCATGGTTGGATTCCTGCAAGTCATAGGCAACACTCTTTAGTCAAGGTTAATCTGAAAAAGAGCTTGTCAAGACGAATTTTGGGAACCTTTTTGAATGGATCTAGAAGTCTAAATGAAGTTGAGTTATAGAAAGTAGCTTAGGAGAGTTTTTAGTCTGAACAAACTATTAGCTCATTACTGTTCCTACTTAAATTGTCTGGTTTTGCCTACAAGTGAGACCAGAGTAGACCAGGCAGACTGCTGATGTGGCCCAGGGCACCAGCAGATTCAGGAGGATTAGGGCGATGCTTCCATCAGTAATCATTCAATCAGGCACTGTAAGGAACTAAAAGTCATCTGACCTTTACTTACTCTCTGACATTACATAAGGTAAGTACAGCCCCTATGGTTAAACACATAGTGAGATGGTGATTAGCTTGTTTTGCCTGCAACAAGCAGACATCTCACTACTGGACAGTTTATACATTGTGTGGTGGGTTTTGAACTAAGAGGAGGTAGGAAAATGAAAGCAGCTTCAGGCACAGCCTGAACAGCGCATGTGAGGAGGAAAAGAAGACTCAAAAAAGCACAAAGGGACAGGGTGTACTGAGTTTTCAGGAAAAAAAGGAAAGGGGGTGACATGAAAAATGAGAAGGGGAGAATTGTGATGCTTCGGCCTAACGGCAGGTGGGAGAAATCAGACATGTGGAGTCAATAGGAAGACTGTGCTAGGGGAGGGAGAGACACTGTTTCATTCAAACATGTTACAGCCCAAAGATGGGGAAATGAGAGCATCATTCTTGGGAAATGTTTTCAGATTATCTGTTGAATGAGAAGCTAAGTGATCTCAATGCTAAAGCTTATTTTTCTTAGGGAAAAATCCTCCCTAAATTCTTCCAATTCTGACTGGGACTTTTTCTCACCTTTCCTATTTTCCTACACCGACATGCAAATAACAATATTTCTCCAAGACTTCTAAAAGGGGGAAGATGCCACCCATCTAAAATCACACTGCCTTTCTTTAGAAAGCAGTTTTTTTTTTT